CAGCGGCGCGCGTCGCCGGCCGCCGCCACCGCGCCGCCCAGCCGCGCCACGCGCTCCGACGTCTGCAGCCGCCACAGCGACCCGCGCCCGCCGCCGCGGCGCACCTACACAATGCATTCGCTGCCATTTTATACAAGTCTATTTTTTATTTATGCGAAATACTAAACCCTCTAAATTGCTGTATAGATAAACTTAGCACAGCACAACATTTAAGTTACAAGTATTTAGAAGGCAGGTCGTACCTCATTAGTGCACCAGTCGAGAGTGTTGCGCAGCGCGGCCAACAGGTCAGCGTCATCCGCGTCGTCGGGCGCGGGCTGCAGCGGCGTGGCGTAGATGCCCTGCTTGGAGGGCTTGCCCTTGACAGGCGGCTTGCTCGGCACGGCGGGCTTGTCGTCGCGGCGCCGCGCCACCGAGCCGGCGCGCGCCACGCCCGCCCCCGCGCCCCCGGCCGCGCCGCGCTCCTCGGGCGACACGTCGGGTTCGTCGGTCCGCGATCGCGCCTTAGGACTAAGTCGTTCGTCGGTCTCTTTACTCTCCCACAGCTTCTTGAGGCTGCTAATGCTGCCAGTGCTGCGGCGCTTGTCGTCGTCGTCGCCACCGCTGGTCTCGAGGGAGCCACTCTCAGTACGCTTGCGGTCCTCGTCGCGTTGATCCTCCGGCGACCGCTCTGGTTTCTTGCTAGTACCGTTAGTAGCAGGCGTGCTACTCTCTACTTTCCGCAGCCGAGATTTAAAATCAATGATCGCTCGTCCAGATTCCTCCACATCTTTGGATGCGGGCAAATTCTTTTTATTTGTCTCAACTTTTTTGAGTTGGGCTTTGAAATCAGTGTTATTTTTAATTTCAGTATTCTTCTGGTCGACACTGTTATTATACGCAGTTTTCCTAAGACTGGCTTTGAGATCTATCGGTGAAACAGTTTCTTTGGCGTCGTCGTGATGCCGCGAGACGGCAGTAGCGGTCTCAGGCTTGCGATCACGGCGCAAGGCGTCCATGTTAAGACTTTCTGACAGCTCGGACACGAGCCGTGTCAC